GATGTGGCACAGGTTGTTCGTTTGAACATGGCTGGTGGGACTCTATTGCTGTTCTAGGAGCGAGGAAAGGGGTGAAAGCAGAAATGTGGGAAATAGGTGAAATATGAAAATCTGCAACATTCATTAATATTCAGGAAGAAATGAAAACTTTCTAGACCAAAGATTCAGTACAAAATGTGTGAAACTTGAAGAATCATAGGGCTTCTTTTAAGTGAAGTTGCAACACCCTCTAGTGGACCAATCATGGTAAAACTGCTTGGAGACAGTATTTAGAAAATGCTTAGAAGTATGCGTTCATTTGCCCATCATGTCAGCATCGGCTGTCCAAATGAGCTTTAGAACTTAGTGCCATTCTCCTGCCTTTGTTCCCTGTCTTTGCATGTTGTTTATTTTTAGAATAATCTTCTGATACCCTATTGAATGCCTCAGTTGAACAATTTGGCTTGATTCAGACAGAACATTCTCAGTGAATTTGTTAAGACAGTATCTGCTCGTACTATTAAATCTCTTTGACCTTCATGAATTCAACAAATGCTGGTTTTCTCTAGTGACTTTTACACAAACCCATTCTTGATATAAATGCGCATACTAGGAGTGGGAGTAATCCATTTGGTCCTTTGAGCCTGCCTTGTCATTCAGTAAGATCATGGCTTCTCTGGTGTTTTGTACGCTGCATTTCCACTATCCCTGATAACTGCTGTCTGACAGGAATCTATCCAGCTTTGATTGGGAAAAAACACCTCAAGGCTTGCCTCTACCACCTTTTTGAGGTAGTGTTCCAAACGTGTACAACACGCTGAGAAAAAAAATCTCCTCATCCCAGTTCTGAAACAGTGACCCCTAATTTTGAAAAGATGCCCCAAGTTCCTGACGAACCCACAAAATAAGGTTCCTTGGCCTTTTCACATTCAACTTGTCAAAACTGTTCAGAATCTTAAACACAAATCACGTTGCCTCCCACTCTAGAAACTATCCAGCCTGTCCGCCAAATTGCCATAAGTCAACTCGTGTGTTCTCTATCAATTTGATCAACCCCCTCCATTGCATTTATATCCTTCGTTAAATATCCCTTGTATTATAAAGGATAACATTCCATCAGGCCCCCTTGATTACACGCTGTACCTGCACATTAACTTGTTGTGACTCATGAGCTAGAACTAGAATACCTCCATTACTGTCTACCCTTGAATTCAGCAGTTGTTCTCCATTTAACTAATACTCTTATTTTTCATTCTTCCTAGCAAACTGAAAAGCTTCACATTTTCACGCATAGCTCCATCTACCAGATCTTTGCCTGATCACTCAACCCTGTATTTGTTTGCAACTTCATTGTGCCTTCTTCGCAATGTACATTCCTGCTTGTTTTGATGTCATCTGGAAATTTTGCTGCCATGCCTTGACTTCACTTTACCTAAGTCATGCATGTAAATTGTTTTTAAAAAAAAAAAAAAAAAAATTGAGGCCCCTGCAGGATTCTACTGGTTACATACTGCCAATCAAAACTTCATTTCTGCATACTCTTAGTTCTGTCAGTTAGCCAGTCCTCTATCCATGGCAACCTGTTAGAATCCCCAAACGCAGTGAGCTTTTATTTTACAAAATAACATTTGTGGCATTTTGTCAAATGCCTTCTGGAAATACAAGTAAAATGTGCTTATAGACTGTTCTTTACCTACAGTGCATGTTACTCCTTCAAGAACTGCAATAATTTGGCTAAGCATGATTTCCCTTTGACAAAACCATGCAGAGTCTTCCCAATTACGTTGAGTTTTTTTGAAGTGTGATTGATTCAAGCAACTTCCCCATGACAGACATTGAGTTAGCAGACCTATTGTTCGCTGTTTTCTGCTTCCATCACTTCATCAATCTAATAAAATATTTGCTACTTTGCAATCCATTATAACCTTTCCAGGATGTAGGGAATTTTGGAGAATTAACTACACTAACAACCTCTTTGAAGGCCCCAGAAAGAAGTTCATCTGGGCCCAGGGACTTGTCAGTTCACAGCTCCATCAGTTTGCTTTGTACTGCTTCCCTCATGATTATAGTTTCACTAAGTTCCTTTCTCTCTTCCACTCCCTCATTTATAGATATTACTGGAATGTTTTTTGTACCTCCTATTCTGAAGACAGTAACAAAATTCATTTCACCCACCATTTCCTCCTTTACGATTACCTCCCCATTCTCACTTTTTAGAGGACCAGTGCTCACTTAACTTTCTCTTTTAATTACCCACAGAAACTCTTGCTATCCATTTTTACATTCCTAGTTTGCTTCCCCCATACTGTAATTTCTACCTCCTGATTAACCTTTTAGTCATTTTACCATTCTTCATATTCTGACCAATCATCTGAACTGTCAATCATCTTTGTGGAGTTATGTGCTTTTCCTTTAAGTTTGATGCTGTGCCAAACTTCTTTAACTAGCCGCAGATGATCGATCCTCTGTTTAGAACTTTTCTTCAGACAGGGAGATGGTTATTTAGAGTATTCTAAAATATTCCCTTAAATATCTGTCGCTGTGTCTCTATTGATCTATTCCCTAACCAAGTGTGCCAATTCAGTTCTTCTAAACTCCGCTTTCAAGCTCACGTAGTTGCCTAATGGAATCTACTTGGAATCTGCTTTATAACCATGGATTATTCCTGAGTCCAGTTTTAAGTTTGACTCCAGGTCCTAGCTCAGATGTAAATTCATCCCTACTTTAAAGTGCGAATGTTTCATTTCTTTTCAGGAAGTGCTGTTCTTTTCTCAAAGTCCTTGACAGTAAATGACCAGACAATTAAAATTAATTGCAGCATTTAAACCAGTTATTTTTATGAATCTTGAAAGCTTATTGTTTAACCTGTCAAAATTTATGGCGATTAATATGCTCGTATGTAATTCAGTATTTATTACTTTGATTTACAAAGCTCAATAAATAGTTACATAAATTCAGTTTTTAATCACAGATTGAAGGTTTTCAGTTAATATCTCAGATATATACTAAAAATTATACCAAGTGAAGAGCTTAGGATTAATAGTTGAAGGAAGATTTGAAGGTAAATTGTTAATCTTCTTAAATTTAAATTTTAAGTCTCTCTTTTGATAGACAGTAACACCTAGATTTTAACTGAGCATTTTTTTTGTATTTGGAATGTTTACGGAAGTATTTTGTATTTTGATTTAACTAGTATTTACTGGATCTTTGGAGCAGTTTTTGGGAAAGAAGCAATAAGAAAACCATGCAAGAACCGTGTGGATTAAATTCATTTGTGGGAGTGTACAACCATCAGCATAACTTTTCCACATTTCTATATACAGACTGGTTGATTCAAACATATTTGGTTAACAACCCATAAGAGTGCATTTTTGTTGTAATGATTGGTTTTAAATAACACTCTTTTGTGTTGATCATTACTACTCCTTGTGTATAACAGTAGTGACCTAGAACTTGCTAGCTATAAGAGTGAATCTGATTAATGATTTCAAGAGGCAATGTTAGGTAGTTGAGAGAAATAAACCTTCAGGGCTACTGAGATCAAGGTAGGGGCTCTTGTGGCACTGTGATAGTGTCCCACCCTCTGAACTAGAAGGCCTGGATTCAAGTTCAGTTTGTTCCAGAGGGTTGTCATAGCATGTCTGAGCAGTTTGATTGGCATATGTTGGGCCTCGAGTAATCACTGTATTCATTAATTGCTTAGATGATGTGATAGAAAGCCACATATCCAAGTGTACCACTACCACAAAGATAATCAATATTGTGAGCAATGCAGTTGGAAGTCTAAAGTTATACTGAGAGCACGACATTGGAACTGACAATATTGTTGTGCAGAGAATTGGCTGAATGGCTACCTATGCCATTGAGCACTATGGCTGTGATTCTATGACACGTGAATTTGTATACTGCCATATCCTCGACAGCAGTGCAAATTAGACAGTAGAGCTGAACTGTGCTTTGTGTTTAATTTGCAGATCAATTAATTTGATATTAAAAATGTCAACATATTAACAATACAGAAAAATATGATGTATTGGAGGCCAGTTAGCATTTAATGAATAGGTTATAGCATTTTGGTTGTGTATCCGTTAACGGGGGCGGGTGCTGCCGGGTAACAAAGTCCAGCCTCCCTCTTAGTTACAGAATGTTAGACATAATACATAGCTATAAAGATTTTACACTCATTTATATCAGGCTATACAGTATGGACCATAACATTCTTAAAGTTTTGGCGAGATTGAGGATTGTTTTGATTCTTCATTTTATTTTGCAAGCATAGATAGACCTTGTTCCAACAGGCATTTCAATGATCTAGCGTTCAGAGAGAAGGAATGTAAAACTGAAGCTGCTTTTATGTCTAAGGTAGGCCCATTCATTTTTGAGTTGTCTTCAATAGATGTCATTCCACACTGAGAGATCTGAAAACCAGTTCAGAATGGAACCTTGTGCTGAGGTATCTGATTATTATAATCAATTCAATACCATAAGTTGGTAATGGCTTAGGCAAGCAGATTAGGTTCCAAAAAACAGTCACTATAAACTACTGTCATGTTAAAAACAAATTAAGCTATACATGGAATTCTTTTCCAAATTTCACTTTCACTGCTTCCATCTGATGCATGTCCTGATTTGGTGCATCTGCTACTTGATTTTTGTAACAATTGAATGGCAAATCTGAGTTCAAAAGTTGCCAATAAAGGCTATCATAGCAAAATGCTAGTATGTAAAAAGTACTGCTTAAATGAGTCCATCATCACTCCATGTCACTGTGTGTATTACTCCTCATATTTCTTCCTACATTTTAAATTAGTTTGAAGAAACTCCTGTTATTGTGGAACAATCAATCGACAAAATATTATATGAATTTGTCAATTAATAAATGATTGGACTGATTTCAGTAAGCTGATCAATTATAAGTGCTTCTGATACATTGCATTCACAAACGTTTACGTCTTGGTAGTTTTATCTTGTTTGATGTTACAGTTAGTAGAGCTTGTGCATCTAATTGGTATTTCTTTTAGGGTTTTCTGCTACCTTCTTGCGAAGCATCAGCAATAAAAAAAGTGGTAAAGGTTTATCGAAAATGGATCTTGCAAGAAAACAAACCTCCATTTATGGCTGAGCCAGAAAAGTCAGAAACAGATGATGATGTTGTTGATCATCCAGAGCATCTTTCTGTATTGCTGACTGATAATAAAGAGGTAAATAAGAATTTTCAAGTGATATTAGAGCAATTAACCACTTTGCTATTTTTCATGTCATTTACACTTTCTTGGTTGATATAAAGCAAAAATTCAAAGCTGTTGATTTCTTGTCCAGCTCTATTGGTCAAGCCTTTCTTCTCTCGGATTTGCATTTTAATCCAATAATTAAGTGATGGAGTGAAAGTTCATGTAGAACAGCCATGAGACTTACAGTTGAGCAAATATGATCAACAAATGCAGCATGGATGTGCAACTAAGATTAGGCTTAAGGCATTCTTGTGTCAGGAACATAGTCTGCATTTTGTCATGTACTTATCAGTGCCTGATGTTAAAGTCGCTTTTAGTGGTGAAAAAGTGCTACTATGTCCAGGAAATATTCTGATACTTTCCTCCCCTCAAAAAAAAACCAAGGAAACAGTTCTGCACCAGAATATTTAGTTCAAAATGGTGATTTTTATAAGTGTGAGATGGAACAATGCCAGATGTAAAGAACCTGTTGTACTTGCAGAGAAACCATGCATGCATTACTGAAGGAATGCTGCACTGTTGGAAATGGTGCCTTTGATTGAGGCCCTGTCTAAACTTTCAGAAAGATGGAAAAGATTCTATGGTTACCACTTAGAAGAAGAGCAGAGAGGCAATCCTGATGGACTGGCCAATAATTATCCCTCAATCAACCTCACAAAAACAGATTATTTGCTCATTTGTCCATTTCTCTTAGTGGAAACTTATTACAAATCTGCTGCTGCATTTCCTATATGGAAACAGTGACTGCACTTCAAAACTAATTATTTTGCTGTGAAGTGCTTTGAAATATAGTTGTGCAAGGCAGGTTGATTCTTCTTATAAATACAGGTTGATTCTTATTATTCTGTATATTCCTGAGAACTATTGTGAATTGTACATTCAGAATACCATTTTATAGAAATTTATTTCACTTGATTAACTTTGTATCCCAAACAAATGTTAAATGATGGCATAACATTTCCTAAAATAACACACTTTCATTTGTAAGACCATCTTATATGTACTCCAATTTAATAGTGCTGGGTTCTGGTTTACGAAATTATGAAACTTGCAGTGTAGTTTTCATGTGAGCTCATCTATGGTTTGAAAACAGAGATATAAGTATTAATATAGAAGTCACCCAGGTGATGAAACTGGATTTCTAAAAGTGACATCAATTCAGGTTTTTTTTTTAAATTGTCAATCTGAATATATGTTGGCCGTGATAAATTGTTCAGGGCATTAATGGAAGGAAGAAAATTTTGCATTCGTTTGTGGATATTTATCCTGGCTGTGTCCTACTGCTGTGAGAACACAGATTCAAGTCTGATGGCAGCTGGTGGAATTTACATTCTTTTAAAAAAAATTTGGAATTGGAAAAGCTTGTTTCGGTAATAATGGCCACGATACGATTATTGTTGTGAAGACCGACGGTAATGTGGTTAATTCTTAAGTAAGCTCTGAAATGGTCTAGCAAACCTTTCTGAAGGGAGTACGAATGAACAATAAATGATGCCCAGAGCCTCTGGGCCGATAGGATAAAGTTTATATTCTTCAGCATAACCTTCATGTTCTGTCAGTTTGTGAATTTTTTTTTTTGCTTTGAGTTTTGCCCTCTTTCTGTATCTTTTGACAGGTGTGCTCTATATGTCTAGTGTTTATATTTTATTAAAGCTAAAAACAAAGTAGATACTCAATAAAAGGAAGGATAAATGCATTTGAAGAAGAATGGCTTAATACCTTAATATTCAACACTGAAATCTGACCTGTAGATGGTGTTCCAAGCAATTCTCTTGATTTGGCATCATGGGGGCTGTATAGGTTTATTCATGCATAATCTATCTACATCAATTTGCTGTTTATTGGATGACAGTGATAAGTCGAGATTTATGGAACGATCGACATTTTGACTATTTCAGTGTTGGTAGATTAATTACAAAATTGAAAATGCTGTCCTCAGAGGTTTGCACATGGTAGCATAAATATAGTAAAATCTTTTTGCTTCTAAGACCATTCAGCAATCAAGGCATCGGCGTACATCTAGTTGGGGAAGAACATACTCTTTTACAAATGCCATCAATCGGGGCTGTGTTTTTGAAGAGGAAAATGCAAATATTCAGGCTGGTATTCAATCAACGTTGCAAGTGAGTGTCGATCAAGTTCTTGTATGAGCTGATTTTTATTCAGGGTGACACTTAATAGTTTTGTTCCCCCTTTAATAATATGTGATGTGCTTCTAGATCTCTCTCAACATTTTATTTTTGTTATGAGCAATCAGTTTCAATGTGGAAATGATTCCTTTTCAATAATATCTCCTCCCAAAAATGAAATGTGTGGCTTTTGTTCATTCTCAACGATATATCCACAATAGTAATATTTCTGTGATTTATGTCAGTATGCCTTACTTTGTCATGTAGCTTTACAATGCTCAGTGACTTGCTTTCATACAATGTTCAACATGCTGTGGCTGAAAGGTCTGCAGCCAGTTGGGCAACTTTTGCGCTAGAGGAAAGACTCATTTCTTGCACTATGGCTTTGTTGAAACTGTTCATCACTTCAGTATTCCAATCTTGATTTAAAAACTTTTCATCCTTATGGAGTTACTTAACTCCTATTCTCTCTCAATGCTGTTTGACCTCCTGAATATTTCCATTATTTTCTATTATTATTTTGCATTTGCACAACTTTTGTATTGTGAAATATTCAAGGAGCAAGATATATAGAAGTCATATAAAATTGTGAAAGATTTTCTGAAAGAGTGTGGTTTATATTTTGCTTTAATACACTTTGAAGTGAATCAATGCATGGGTACATTTAACAACTTTTCATAATTGTTCAGAGAAATCAGTTCCTATCAAGGGCAGTGATACTTCAGGTACATTTGATGGAAAATTTATGTTTATTTTTGAAAGGTATTTTTGACAAATTCTGCAAATGTGTTCTTGTTGGAACCCTGCACTGATGTCTCAAAGATCCTAGAGGAACAGATTGACGTCTGCAAGGCAGTATTAAGTATCTACAGGCACATGATCATGGAATTAAACATGAGCAAGAAAACGTGGTGAGTTCGGCTATCGGGCATTGTCTATATTTTTCTGATGTTTAGTTTTATATTTTTGAAACAGTAAATGTGCACATTTCCTTCAAATGTAGGTAGCACATTTTGATGTAATTTTAATTTGACACTGTTGATTTCTATTATGTACTTCAGGCCAAAATAAATATTTAACCTTAAACTGATTCTGTTTGATTTGAAGTTTTGAGATTTTCTTTAGTTTGGCAAAGAAGATATTTTCTCTGACTCCTTGGATCCAACATTAATTTCATGGTGTAGTTAAATGGTCGTCCTAACCATATTTTAAGTACTATAGCCCTACCGCACTTAAGATGTATGAAATACTATTCTAATGTAAATTACCTGTCGTAACTTATCTATTTCAATGTTAGGATATTTCCAAGAGCTGAAGTCCTGCGTCCTACTGCTAAGGTTCCCAAACTTTCTTCTTTTTCCCTGAAATTTATTGCTGTTCCAGTAGTTTTGTAAACTGATTACTTTGCACAGGACTGTAATAGAGACCTATTTATTACTATTTGCACCTAACAGGATACCTTGCCCACAGATTTAAAATTCATTTTCTTGCAGGTGATTAATTCAATGCTGAGAAAATTATATGTCTTCAAATATATTATGCGATCCTAGAGGGACAGGAAATTGAAAAAAGTTCAAAGTTGTTGATTTGGATGTATTCTTAGTATATTTTTGAATGACTGGACTTTTTTGACTTTCACGCAGGGAACAACTTTTGCGTGTATTACTGAAGATAACTGAAGCAATTATGCCAAAGCAACAGGATTTGCACAACCGGGATATTTTTGCAGAGCACATGGCTGGCCTACTTTTCCGGGTAAAATGTGTAAATAAAGCACTAGCTTATTGTGAACCATGCAGTGTGTATGTGTCAGTACAATATATTTGTGTAATCTAACAATTTGTATTTAAAAAGGTCGAATTAGTCATTATTGAATAGCTTTGTAAATTCTATCTTTAATGAGCCCAGGAAAGAAAACTGAGAGACTAATTGTCACCAAGAGCTGATAATGCTGATTATTGTCATGCTGGTTCATACACTTTGTATTGGTAGATATCCAAGTTGGCTCTTGTGGATTTACTTGTGGCCCTTGTGTTGGTTGAAAATGCGTACTTTGCGTTACCTGTGGTGTTTACAAAGGTCAATATTTTATGTTGTATCTAGTCTTGTTTTAGTGCCTTAATGATATTATCGGATTGGTATTAAATTGAGGAATCTCCCACAACGCATGTCTGGTACCCACTTAGATTCGCTGTTTCCTAATCAGTCAACATCTCCAATTATAAATTGCTGCGACTGTGTTTTCTGCATGAGCAGGTATTGGGTTTTAAAAGATAATGGCTGTTGATTTGTTTTGAAGCCAGTGACATGACTGCAGGAATAGATTGTTGATAATATCTTAGTTTTTTTATTCATTTGTGGGATGTAGGTATCGCTGGCTGATTAGTAGTTATTGCCCATTCCTATTTGCCTTTGAGAAGGTGGTGGTGAGCTGCTTCCTTGAATCTCTGCAGCCCACCTGCTGTGGGTTGATCAACAATACTATTAGGGAGGGAATTGAAGAACTTTAATCCAGTAATAGTTTAAGAACTGTGATATATTTTTAAGTCAGGATGGTGAGTGGCTTGGAGGGAAACTTGCAGTTGATGGTATTCCCATATATCTGTTTCCTTTGTCCTTCTAGATGGAAGTGGTTGTAGTTTGGGAAACTGCAGCGTGAGGATCTTTGGTGAATTTTGCGGTGCTTCTTATAGTACACACTGCTGTTACTGAGCATCCGTGGTGGAGGGAATGGATTCTTGTGGATGCAGTGCGAAAGGGAGGCAGTGGCCTAATGATATTATCACTGGACTGTTAATCCAGAGACCTAGCTAGTGTTCTGGGAACTTGGGTTTGAATCCTGCCATGGTGGATAGTGGAATTTGAATAAAAATCTGGATTTACGAGTGTAAATGATGACTGTGAAACATTGTTGATTGTAGTAAAAATCCATCAGGTTCACTAATGTTCTTTAGGGAGGAAAGCTGCCATCCTTACCTGGTCTAGCCTACATATCACTCCAGACACACAGCAATGTGGTTGATTCCTCTGGCAATTAGGGATGGCCAGTAAATGCTGGCCTAGCTCACAACACCCTTATCCCATGAATGAGTTTAAAAAAAAATTAAGTGGGCTGCTCTATCCTGGATGAGATACTCTCTACAGTATTCCTCGCCTCTGATCTGCTGTTGTAGCCTCTGTTTATATGGCAAGTACAGCTGAGTTTCTGGCCACTGGTAACCCCAGGATGTTGATAGAGGGGATTCAGTGATGGTAACATTGATTGTCAAGCTACAGTGGTTAGATTGTCTCTTATTAGAGGTGGTCATAATCTGGCATGGAAGCTCAGCTTGTCACTTGTCAGCCCAAGCCTGGGTATTGTTCAGATCTTGTTGAATTAGAATATTTGCTTCAGTATCTGAGGTGTCTCAAATGATGCTGAATATTGAGCTATCATCAGCAAACATCACTGTTTCTGACCTTCTGTTGGAGGCAAGGTCATTGATGAAGCAGCTGAAGATGGTTGTGCCTAGGACACTACCCTGAAGAACCCCTGTGGAGATGTCCTGGAGCTGAGATGACTGACCTCCAACAATCATGACCATCTTCCTATGTGCCAGGTATGACTCCAACGAATGGAGAATTTTCCCCCAATACCTATTGATTCCAGTTTTGCTAGGGCTTGTTGATGCTTGGTTGAATGTAGCCTTGATGTCAAGGGCTGTCACTCTCGCCTCACCTCTGGATTTCAGCTCATTTGTCCATGTTTGAACCAAGGCTGGAGGCTGAGTGGCCCTGGTGGAACCCAAACTGGGTGTCAGTGAACAGGTTATTGCTGGGCAGTTGCTGCTTGATAGCACTATTGATGACCAATTCAGTTGCTTTACTGATGATCGAGAGTAGACTGGTGGGGCAGTAATTGGGCAGGTTGGATTTGTCCTGCTTTTAATGCAGAGGAGATACCTGGGCAAATTTCCACATTGTTGGGTAGATGCCAATGTTGTAACTGTATTGGAAGAGCTTGGCTAGGGAAGCAGCGAGTTTTGGAGCACAAATCTTCAATACTGTGCGGAATATTGTCAGGGCCCACAGCCTTTGCTGTATCCAGTGTCTCCAACTATTTATTGATATCCCGTGGAGTGACTGAAGACTGATATCTGTAATGCTGGAGATCACTGGAGGAGGCGGTGATGGATCATCCACTTGGAACTTCTGGCTGAAGATTGGCGCGAATGCTTCAATCTTATATTTTGCCCTGGTGTGCTGGGCTCTTATATCATTAAGAATTAGGATATTTGTGGAGCCTTCTCCTCCTCCAATGAGTTGTTTAACTGTCCACTACCATTCTTGAATAAATGTAGCAGGACTGCATTTATTTTTCTTGTTGATTCTTTTAATCTTCCATTTTATTATGGATTCAAATTAGAAATTCCCTAAAATTATTTGAAATTGAAATTACAATTTAGGTTCACCTAATTTCTGAAATATTTGAACTCCTGCTTACTGCAGGTTTTATCTTGCAATTTCTATAATAACGTTAGTTAGCAACCTGTCGTGATGGGTAGCAGGGTGGATGGGTGCACTTGAATTTTGCCTGGCTTCCGTCCAGGTCGTTAACTTTTGTGTAGACCCGGTTTTGTTACCAAGGTTATGGAGGAAAGCCATCAATGAGTCTAGCACAGAATTGGCTTTACCATCCAACATCACATATAGTTGAGCTGCACCAAACATAATCCTGTTTTCTCTAAAGCCCAGAAATCTTGGATTGTCTTAGAGAACCAAGATAATTTCAACATGGCCATTGTTGACAGCCAATAACAACAAACATTCATGAAGTAACTTTTAATGTCAAAAAACACACTGGGCAACTCAGAGGCAAATGTTATTCCAGAGTAGATAGAAGTTGCAAATGGGTAGCCTGCAAAATCTCTCGCACACCAAACTCTGAAGCATTGTCCCGGAAATTGCTGGCTCCCTAACGTCACACTTGCCTTGTGCGCTTAGCATTTAACAACAACTGTGAAGATGATTCTGGGTCTTTAAACTTCAGAATGTAATAGCTAACAGTTCTATAAAGAGGACATAGTTTGCATTCCTCTGACAGCCCTGCATGAGAGGGTGCTGTCAGAATGGAATTATGGCTCTGAATTTCTGAAGGAGTCTTGATCAAAATCTCCTGTCAAAAATTTGAGGCTACTCCTTGCAGATTGTCACTTGGAAAATCAAGCATATAATTGAAAAAAAAATTAATGCTTTATCAGTATTTTGGGATGACACAGTTCCTGAAATGTATCTTCACTGTCCCGTATCCTTATCTCTAATAAGGATGAACAGCTTATGGTCTTGTTTGTTACTCGCTAGAGATCATTCATTCAGAGCATCTATTGCTGTTTCCAAATTCTACTTTTCACAAAGTCAGACCTTTCTCGCACTCTTCCTGAATTAGCCTTGGACTTCCATCTGTTTAAAGTTTCTCTTCCTTCTACCATCTTCACTGGTTAGTCTTATCTTGTTTGAAAGATATCTGGGTCACTTCCTTCGTGTCATTCCCACTAAAATGCTGACTATTCAATTTTTGTTCTTGATCCAATCCTAGCTGGTATTTTGTCCAAGGAGGGATAGGTTAAAAGATTTCTGTTGTGAGGAAATCTATAATTTCAAAGTTTAATTTATATATTTTTGAGATTATTCTCAAAACAAGTTGAACTGAAAGTGAAGTTAGCATAGAACAGAAAACAGAAACAAAAACCTCCAAGTAAAATTGAACTTAATGTTTCTAAGAAAACTAAAACCAAACTGAGGTTGTGACATAGAAACTGAAACCTTGTTGCAAGTTATAGAAGGACACAGACAAGTTTATTTGTGCGGTGGCAATTGTTAAGTATTCATATGTAATCTGCAGAATTGATTGTTACTAGGGTTGTTGATTTGTTTGCTGAGCTGGTAGGTTTGCTCGCAGATGTTTTATCACCATACCAGGTAACATCATCAGTGCACCTCCGATGAAGTGTTGTTGGTCTGTCCCACTTGTTATTTATGTGGTCCGGTTTGATGTGGTTGTTGGCCTCTTATGGTTCTGCTTCGTGGAAGTTGGTATGTAGGGTGTATTTCCACATGTTTGTTGATGGAGTTCAGAGTTGAGTATCAAGCCTCTAGGAATTCCCATGTGTGTCTTTGTCTTGTCCTAGGTTGGTTACGTTGTCCCAGTCAAATTGGTGGCCGCCTTTGTGTGTATGGAAATAAGTGATAGTTGATTGTGTCTCTTGATAGCTAGTTGGTGCTCATGTATCCTGATGGTTTTTTTTTTCCAGGTCTGTCCAGTGTAGTGTTTGAGGCAGTCCTTACATGGGATTTTATATATAACATCGGTCCTGTTAGTTGTGAGTATGGGATCCTTTGTTCTTGTTTAGTAGTTGTAGTGTAGCTGTGGGTTTGTGTGCTACCATGATTCCTAGTGGTCAGTAGTCTGGTGGTCATCTCTGATACGTTCTTGATGAATGGCAGGGTGACTAGTATATTCGGCCTTGCTGTGTTTTCCTGTTGTCTGTTAAGTACCAGCAGACTACACTTTTTGGGTAGCTGTTGTTTTTAAAGATGCTGTGGAGGTGTCCTTCGGCTTTGTGCAGTTCCGGGGTGCTGTAGTGTGTTATGGCTGTTTTGAACAGAGTTCTGATGCAGCTCTATTTGTGGGTGTTGGCGTCGTTGTTGTTGTAGTTCGGTATGCGGTCCGTATGGGTGGCCTTCCTGTACATGTTGGTCTGGAGCTTGCTGTTGGCCCTTTGTTCGACCGTTAAGCCCAGGAATGGGAGTCAGTTGTTGTTCTCCTCTTCCCTAGTGAATTTTATGCTGTTGAGAATGGTGTTGATGAGTTAGTGGGTTTCCTCCAGTTTTGTGTACTTGATAACGACAAATAAGTCATCCACATAGTGGACCTACAGTTTTGGCTGGTTAATGGGAAGAGCTGTCCGTTCTCGTCTTTGCATTACTGTTTCAGCTATAAGTCCTGACATGGGTAATCCCATGGGTGTTCGGTTGACTTTTTTGTATAGTTGGCCGTTGAAGACAAAGTGGATCGTGAGGCATAAGTCTAGCAGTTTGAGGTTGCTGTCTTTGTTGATGGTGTTGGTGTTGTAGGGGTTTGGCATTATTGGTTTGTCTAGTAATGAGGCTAGTGTTCCCTTAACTAAGGGGATGTCAATGGAAGTAAACAGTGTTGTCGTGTCAAAAGAGGTCATAATTTTGTCTTTGTCGATTCTGGCGTCTTTGATATTGAGGAGTTCTTGGGCCAAGTGGTTAGCGTGGGTTGAGCCATTTGCGAGGTGTGTCAGTTTCCGTTGTAATTCTTTAGCCAGTCTGTATGTTGGTGTACCCGGGAGGGGGCTATGGGTCTAAGGGGCACTTCTGGCTGGTATATCTTGTGGACCCCATAGAAATGGGTTGTGTTTGATCCATCCGGTTTTATCCTCGGGTAGTCTGTTTTGTTAATTTCCCCTGTCTGGTGTAATTTCCTTAGGGTAGCGGTGATTTGGTTTCCTAGTTGTGGTATCGGTCTGTTGCCATCTGTTGATAAGTGCTGGTATCTGCCAGATTGTTACTAATCCCCATTGTTGCTAGATTATTATAAATCCCTGGAACTATCTGCAAAAAATAAGATCTAAAAAGTTATTTCAGAACAAGGATTCTTGTTGCTTGTAGGACAATGCCACATTTAATGTGGCATAAAATTATACAGGTTGTTGGAATCAGGATAAAAGTATGCTCAAAAGCCAAGATGCATTGAGTTACAGCCTTTGCTTTAATTCCCAAGCTTGCCTTTAAACCACATCTATCCAAGCTCGTTGATTCCAAGTTCCTGTTTCCTACAACTGAAACCAATGGATATTTTTAAAATCTCGGGTATGGTGGGTAGTGTGGTAATGTCACTGCACTAGTAATTCAGAGGCTGGGTTAATGCTCTAGGCATATGATTTAAATACCACCGCAGTAGTTGGTGGAGTTCAAATTCAGAGAACAGCTGGACTCCGTAATGATGACTATAAAACTACCATTGTTGTAAAACAAAAACAAAATCTTGGTGTGGAAATCTGTCGTCCTCATCTAGTCTGCGTGTGCCTGCAGACCCATAGCAAAGGGTTTGACTCTTGACTGCCCCTTGAAATGGACTAGCAAGCCACCCAATTCAGGGGGAAGTTTGTTAAAGACTTAAAAAAAAAAATTGTTCACTGGTGGATTTTGAATATACAATCCAGATTTTTTAAAGTAACTACTGCTAATATTGTGGTTGATTGTCAGATTTTGTAATGAGCGAATAATTCCATCATGACTGAGAATTGTCTCATTTTGTTATGTGCTCGGTACACTTGTCAATATTCATTACAAATAGGCTGCACTGTATTGTTTTGTTTAGTATAAGGATTCAATAATGCAACAATGTGCATATCTATGGTAGTACAAAAGCAAGAAGAGGCTTTAGTTGAGCTGTTGTTCCGTTGCTAGGTGTTGCATTTGCCTTCAAATGTAGGATGCTGAATAAAAAGGTTTGATATTAAGTGACTTTTAATTCTGCTTTAAATTGATAAACAAGTTGCTTTCCAACAGTCTGGTCATGATTTTCCTCATTATTAAAGTTGGCATAACCTCTAATGCTACAATTTTGTTACTACCAAGCCTGTTGTGATAAAAGGTTTATAATATCAATTTAGGAATTTGGATTTTATAGTTAAGGTAAATAGGTTTTTTGGTTTTAGTTCTGTGAAGGTAACTTCTTTCTTTTAAAAGACCAGAAAGCCACTTTTCAACATTTTCAAACATAATTTCTAAGAAAGCATCTGGCATATAATAAATGACTAGATGCGTTATCTGGGCAGTTAATCAATGAATTCTTTACAAGGTTGACGCTTTGCAGAATACAGAGACTTGGAGAGGGAGGTGCACAGTCAGTTTCTGTTGTGAAGAAAAGTTTCACACCAGCAGAAAGGCACTTAAGTTTGTGACAGTCTGGGCTTTCGGAGCTGGGGAAAAAGTTCTTAACTATTTTAGCAGTTAGACGGGGCTTTTGTTACAGATCTATTAGAAAAGTGAGTGAGGTAGCCAGTGATTTTGTATCTCTTGGAGAGAATCATATCTTTTGAATGTATAGAAAGTCCCTGAAGGGAAGTACTTGCACCTTGTCAGTTAAATAAGAAATTAAACAATTAAAATAGTATTGCTGCTTCACTGAGATTGTGTCTGTAAAGGAAATTGCTGGGAAAGGGATTCAGGTTTTCTTCTTGCTGTTTTTAAATGTTTCTAAACTGCTTTTTTACATATCTATTAATAGCTTTGTTTTATCTTGACCATATTCATATTTATCATTGACCACATTCGCACAAAGATACTGATGACTGATCACCACCGGTAAGAAAACAACAAAAAGAAAACATATAATCTATCATGCTAGGTTTCACTTTGAGACCTGACTTGTCCAATAATACCATCAGCTGGGATAATTACATTGTAGTTAACATATTTTTCAGGTATTCAATCTTCAAGAACTAAACTAATTTTTTGCAAAAGCCATTTTTGTTAGCATTCAGTGACTACAACTGCTTTTCTGCCATTTCGCTGCTCATTCCGGGCAGTCGCTGCTTCATTTCAACACATGAGGCATTGAGTCAAAAGTGTGGTTAGTCTCTCCAGTACATGGTTTCACGTCTCTTCTGTGCCCAAACTCTGGTGTGATTACAGTCTGTCTGAATTTGAGCCTAGAACAGCACATATCAAGTGACGGAGAGAGCAAAATGCACGGGGCACAAGATTTGCTCTGAAGAATGGCGGTGTTCTAACTGTAAATTTTAATCTTTTGCTGTTTACCATTTTTGCTATTTTATTAAGCTGATTTTATTATTGTAATTTTTAATATTGCTTTCGTTTAAATTAAGTAGAAGCATTCTATGGTTTCCTAGAAATCGCAACAATGATCATGAATGCTGACATTTGTTGAAATTTTCTTCATATGTTTGCACCATATTCCATATTTATTTTACAATTCTACAAAACCTGTGCACTTTTTGCATGTTTTTTTTAAACTTTTCTGTCTTTAAGTATTTAACTGATTTATCTTTATCCAAAGGCAATTTATGCTTTAAAACAAAACAAATAAACAAAAATAAGCAACAGTGTCACAGAGAGGGATGCAACTGGAGGAGGTGAAATTGAATTAAATTGCTTTCTCTTTGAATTTCACAATTCGTTTCTTTTTTTTTGCAAAATAAATGTGGTGTGAATTGGTTGTTGGGGTTGGGTTGGGGACGGGGTAATTGCACCTTATTTTGCAAAGCCAGGGAATTGTGTGAAATAATGAGATTATTGGTGATATAAAGTAGGCAGGTTATTCAGCTTGTCTTTGTTGGGTACAATAGGGACAGTTTTTTTTAATGTTGTGTTTTTCTTTGGAAAACTTGGAGAACAAAGCTATCCAGGGTCAAGAGGTAGTAGGAACTGCAGATGCTGGAGAATCTGAGATAACGAGGTATAGAGCTGGATGAACACAGCAGGCCAAGCAGCATCAGAGGAGCAGGAAAGCTGACGTTTTGGGCCTAGACCCTTTTTCAGAAATGGGGGAGGGGAAGGGGATTCTGAAATAAATAGGGAGAGAGTGGGAGGCGGATAGAGGAGAAGATAGGTGGAGAGGAGACAGGTCAAAGAGGCGGGGATGGAGCCAGTAAAGGTGAGTGTAGATGGGGAGGTAGGGAGGAGATAAGTCAGTCCAGGGAGGCTGGACAGGTCAAGGGGGCGGGATGAGGTTAGTAGGTAGAAGATGGGGGTGGGGCTTGAGATGGGAGGAGGGGATAGGTGGGAGGA